GGATCTGTGGGACTTGCTAGACAGCCTAATTTGTAGGCTTCCTGCCTCAAACACAAGATGGTTGCCAGGCATGATGGCACACACCTTCAGTCTTCAATTTCAGTAGCCAGAAGCAGATGGATCTCTTTGAGTTCAGAGCCAAGTCTCATAAAAAAAATAAAAAGGAAGGAAGGAAGGAAAGAAGGAAGGAAGGAAGGAAGGAAGGAAGGAAGGAAGGAAGGAAAGAAGAAAGAAAAGTAGGATGGCTCAGTAGGTAAAGGTTCCTGCCATGCAAGTCTGGCAACCTGAGTTCCAGCTCTGGAACCATGTAAGGGCAGAGGAGAAAACTGATTCCCAAATTGTGTCCTCTGACTGCCATACACACACCACGTCACATCCACGCTCCCCACACACATCAGGCACACACACATACATATACAATACAATAGATATACACCAGAACTGTGGGACTGAATATATGAGCATACTGTGAACCCTAAGATTTCATTATTTACCAGGAAAACCTTTTTCTAGTTGTGGTGTGGCTCAGCCCTAACATACACCTTTCATCCAAGAGCTTTCAGCTTGAATACTGTAAACAAGATTAAATAAAATCAACCATAGGTCAAGAGGTGGAGCAAGCAACCTATTGACAGAAAAGAACCATAGTGAGTAAGAGGAAGTCAGGCAGATTGAGGGAGAGAGACGCACAGGAAGGACAAGGGAGGGACATCCGGTTGGATGAGTTTTTGATTCAGACAGTGTAGGAGAAAGCTCTCTTTCTAGAACACAGCAGAGAAAGAAGTAGCTGGGTGCTTTCTCTGCTTCTCTAAACTACCAGGTTTCCACCCAGCATCTGGATCTAATAAAGTAGAACAACACTTAGTTAGAGAATCACCAGGAAACAACTTACAACCTCTTCTCCCCAACATGCCAGAACCCCAAGAACACACAACACCACATGGAGTCTGCTCGAGCCAGAGGAGACCTGAGAAGTTCACCTTTCACTCGCAGATGTGCCAGCGCGTCATACCATAAATATTCTTTTTATTTCTGATTTCACGAGAGTTTGGCTTTTGTGTGTATGTTGCTTAGTTGTCTTAGGACTGTTGCGTGTGTTTCACACCAGTTTTACAGTAAGGATTCCTTCCTCCGCTTCCCAGGCTCCTCTGGCATGCTGCCCCCTTCTCCCTATGTCATGTCTTCCTTCCTCATCCTTGGCCCCGCCTCTTCTTACTAAGCTATAACCTGACAAAACATTAAAAAGCTCTAAAGTCTGTGGACCCCAACATGACCCCAACATCCCCGTTCTAATTACTTTACCCACTTTTTTTTTCCTTTTCAAAGTCAATCTCATTCTTAATCCTTATTCTTATCTATTGTTCCAGTAAGTTTTTTGTCTGTTTGTTTGTTTGTTTGTTTTGTCAACCTGACACAAATCAGGGTCATCTGGGAAGAGGAAACTTCAACTGAAAAAGTATCTCGACTAGATTGGGCTGTAGACAAGTCTGTGGGGACCATTTCTTGATTAATGGTCAGTGTGAAAGGGTCTAGCCTGTTCCTTAGTACCACCCCTGGACAGGTGGTCCTGAGGTATGTAAAAGAGCAGGCTGAGCAAACCATGAGGAGCAAGCCGGTGAGCAGCATTCCTCCATGGCTTCTGCTTCAGTTTCTGCCCTAGGTTCCTGCCGTGCTGGAGTCCCCTCAGTGATGGACTGTGGTGTGGAAGTGTAAGATAAAATAAACCTTTTTCTCACCAAGTTGCTTTTGGTCATGGTATTTTATCCCAACAATAGAAACCTTAACTAAGACACCTGCCCCACTTCCCTTCCACTCCTAATATTAACAAAATCTGAATCCGTTCTGTATTATCTTTGTTTATCTTCCAATAGTTACTGAAGCCAAAGCGGTCACTGTTGCAATTGGCTAATACAAAATTTACAGAAATAATATTGGGCAGCTGTGATCCCTCTCACAGCTAATAATGGAATAATAGTTTATTTACATCCTGCACTCCAGGACTGAGAAACTATCTGAATTCCACATTCAATTCCACTACTTCCAAAAATCAACTCCAAATAGATCTAGGATCTCAACATCAGGCCTGCAACAGCTAATGGAAAAACACAGGATGTGCACTTCAAGATGTAGGCATGGGTAAGGGTTTTCTGAATAGAACTCTCATGATTGCTCAGAAACAGAGCCAATTATCAACAAACAGTATCTTGTGAAGTTAAAAGCCTTTGTGCAAGCCAGGCGGTGGTGGCACACACCTTTAGTTCCAGCACTAGGGAGGCAGAGGCAGGCAAATCTCAGTGAGTTCGAGAACAACCTGGTCTACAAAGCTACACAGAGAAACCCTGTCTCAAAAAAAACAAAAAACAGGAAAAAAAGTTTTTGCACAACAAAGAAAACTATCATTCAAAACTATCAGTCTATTGAATGGGAAAAAAATCCTAGGCAGCTATAAATCTCTCCGAAAATCTAGAATATACAAAGAATTCAAGCCTGGTCTACAGAGTGAGTTCCAAGACAGCCAGGGCTACACAGAGAAACCTTGTCTCGAAAAAGCAAATAAATAAACAAACAAATAAATAAATGAAGAATGGAGAGCTGGAGGATGAAGCATTGTGAAATGTGGTCCTTTGGGCATAGCATAGCTGTCGCACTCATGAACTTTAGTGAGCATGTTTACCGTACAACATCAAGCCAACAAGACCAGTCAACAATCCAGCAGACCGTACTAACTCAAGAAAGAGGAGGAGGAAAAGGACAAAGAAAAAGAAGAGTGTGAGGGTAGAGTTTGGCTGGATTCAATCAAGATACATTGTAGGCAGCTAAGAAAGTTGTCAAAGAATAAACAAAAGACATTCTTTAAAAAATTTTAATAAGCCGGGCGTTGGTGGCGCATGCCTTTAATCCCAGCACTTGGGAGGCAGAAGCACTCGGATCTCTATGAGTTTGAGGCCAGCCTGGTCTACAGAGTGAGTTCCAGGACAGCCTCCAAAACATACAGAGAAACCCTGCCTCTAAAAAGCAAAAAGAATTAATAAGATAAAGTGTCTTAGGATTTCATTGATGTGAAAAGATACCATGACCATGGCAACTCTTTTTTTGTTTGTTTGTTTGTTTGTTTGTTTGTTTGTTTTCGAGACTGCCTCTGCCTCCTGAGTGCTGGGGATTAAAGGTGTGTGCCACCACTGCCCAGCAACCATGGCAACTCTTATAAAAGAAAACATTTAATTGGTGCTGGCTTACAGTTTCAGAGGTTTAGTCCATTATTATCATGGCAGGACATAGCAGCACGCAGGCAGACACGGTGCTGGAGAAGGAGCTGAGCGTTCTACATCTTGGTCTACAGGCAGCAGAAGGAGACTATGAACAACACTGGGCATAGCTTGAGCTTAGGAGACCTCAAAGCCCCCACAGGATACATTTCCTCAAAAAAGGTCACTCCCTATGGGCCATCATGAGTCTGTGTGGGCCATCCCTAGTTAAACCACCACAAACCAGCCTGGACTACCAAGCGAGTTCCAGGACAGCCTCCAAAGCCACAGAGAAACCCTGTCTCGAAAAACCAAAAAAAAAAAAAAAAACCACCACAAAAAGCAACAGTAGGCACAAGACATCAATCTACACAGGTACATGCACACATATGCAAACATTGAATACACACACAAATATTTTTGTGCTTACATCAGCAGCACACATACTAAAATTAGCATAGCCCTAAACAAGGATGAAATGTAAATTTGCAAAATGTTCCATTTTTACAAAGGGGGGCGGGAGCCGGGCGTTGGTGGCGCACGCCTTTAATCCCAGCACTTGGGAGGCAGAGGCAGGCGGATCTCTGTGAGTTCGAGGCCAGCCTGGTCTACAAGAGCTAGTTCCAGGACAGCCTCCAAAGCCACAGAGAAACCCTGTCTCGAAAAACCAAAAAAAAAAAAAAAAAAAAAAAAAAAAACAAAGGGGGCGGGAAACCTCAGGATGGCCAGAGAGATAGCTTAGCAGTTAAGAGCACTGGCTGCTCTTCTCAAGGACCTGGGTTTGATTCCCAGCACCCACATGCCTACTCACAACTGTCTGTAACTCAAGTTCCAGGGGAACTAACTCTCTTCTGGCTTCTGTGGGCACCAGGCATGCATGCAGGCCAGAACACTCACACTTACAAAATTAAGGAAAAAAAATAACTGTTAAACCCCTTAACATTCCCTCCTCCACCTACCCAAGACACCCCTCAACTCTCCTTCAATGACCTCCTAGACAGTGGCAAGTCTCCCTCACTGGGAACAGAGCAGAGAGGCCTAGTATGATGCAAAGGCACACAGTAGGATGAATCTGGCTGGCAGTGGACAAAGCAAGCTAGGCTCTGACTGGCTTTCAGTCCCTCTTTGAGAGGCAGGCAGGAGTCTAGCTTGGCTGGAGACGTTTCTCATTCCAGCCTGAAGTAGGGTCCCTGAGTCACAAAGTGTGAGGGTCTAGCTAGAGGGTAAGTGAACCAATGGGTCCCCATCAGATCCAGCCCTCTCTCTCCATGAACACTGGTCCAAATAAAAGTCATAGTTGCCAGTCTCTATTATCTACTTCACTGTCCCTTAGATACTTCACACAGCCCTGAATCCCCAGGACGACGTGTGTGTGTGTGTGTGTGTGTGTGTGTGTGTGTGTGTGTGTGTGTGTGTGTGTGTGTGTGTGTCTCCATGTGAAGGTCACAGACAACTTGAGTTAGCTTTCTTGCCACCCTTTGGGTTTGAGGGCTCAAATTCAGGTTGTTGTTCTTGATAACAAGCATCTTTACCTTCCAAACTGTCTTACAAACCCAGAGGCTTTATTTTAAGACCTAGATAGACAAATAAAGTCACCTTTCCTCTGGGGCAGGGACTGAAAACCAGTAGCCATACTTTTCCCTTCTATCTCTCTGGTTCCTTAGCTCTAAGCAGTCTGGGACCCAGCCTGGCTCTACCCTGGGTGTGGTAAGTGAGCTGTGTCCTTAAAAGCAGGTGGGGAGGGCTAGCTACAGGCACAGAAGAGGTAGGACCAGTTCCCTCTAGACTGCTGGTGTGTGGCCCAGGGCGGAGCCCCTGGGTTTAAAGGGCGGAACCCATCCAGGCTGTCCTCAGACTTGCTCTCTGCTCTCTGAACCACTCACCTGGCTGGGGTGACATCCAGGGTGAGTAGATATCTGCTGGGATTTGGAAGGGGGTGGCCAAGAGACTATCTGAAGAAGGGGTGGTGGGTGCTGACCCCATGACTCTGGCGGGTGAGCAACTGTCTGGGAGTTTTGAGGACAGAAATGGCCTCCTGGGGCCTGGAGACTGCTGACTTTGTGACTGTGTAGTAGAGGGTTCAGGACAGAGGAATTAAGAGCCAACCTTTAGCAGAAGTTCATGTGAAATGATAACGAGAGATAGTCCAGGGGCTGCGGGTTGAGGGAAGAGGCAGGAGAAACCGACAAAAGGGAGGAGAAATTCAGATTCAGAGACCCATGTCCACTTGGTTTCACCCAGTTTTCCATCGTAGGGCAAAAGGCCCAAGTGGTTTGGATATATTGTGGCAGACTTTCAGTTCTGAGCTTATTATTTTAGGACTGACATATTATAGCTCATTTAAATTCAGCTGCATAATTTACAAGGTTGCTATTATTTATAGGACACTGAAACATAGAGATAACACCTACTACTAAGTCACATAGCTGGCAGGCAGATGATAGGGACTGAGTCCAGTCAGTTGGCACTGGGTCTGTGATCTCCTCAGAAGACCAAAGCTAGGAATAGTAGATAGTAACAGTGGCTTCACAACTGAACCCTTGACACTAGCTACCATTACACACCAAGAAGGTATAGGGCTTTTTTTTTATAAAAACTCAGCCTTACAAGGCTTCTCACATTGAATGTGTGAGTAGGGCCCTAGCTAGGACCTACTCACAGGAGAAAGGGGCTATGTCTCACACACCAGCAGGCATTCCCAGCAGGTACCTATGCTCTGAGTGGAATTTGGGGCTGCCTGGAACAAAGTCCCTAGCTCCAGAAGTGCTGGATTTTTAGACAATCCATAATTCAGCTTGGGTACTTCAGGCCCAGATCTTTCCAAACAGAATAGCCAGAGCCTGGATACCTGGCTAGGAAAGCTGAACTCCTCCTATGGCTTAGCACAGCCATCTGACTTGGAGTGCTTGGTTTTATCTTCCTGAATTCCCTTTTGCTCCTCCTCCTATGAAAGACATGATAAAGACATGATAGTATGTTTGTAGAGCTCTTCACAGAGTCCTCCACGGACACTGCAGGGTGCTCTGTTCAGAACACTTAACTAGAGTTAACCAATCACACACCCCCCCTTGTTCCATCCCCAGGTGTTAAAGTGGAAGCTTTAGTAAGGTAAGTGCGTGCCTGTGTGGGATTCACACCCAATTCCCACACCAGTTCTGCTTCTTACTAACGAAGTGAGCTGTGGCAGACCACAGAGCCAAGCCCACCTACCTCTACCCCCATCTCACCCAGCAGCCTGCAGCCTTGCCCTCTGTCCTGACATGAAGGGAGTAACCTGTGCCTTTCTCCTGGTGTTAGCAGGTGAGTTCTCCACCCACTAGGGCAGTGGAGACCAGACAGCCTCTGCCCAGAGGATGACTGGTGTCCAATAAATGTGTCTGTTTAAACTGTCAGCTGCGTGAAATACTAGTACGGGTGGAATGAGGACACTGAAAAGATTGCTTAAAGGCTACTGAGACAGTGGGCTGTGGACAGTGGACAGTGCACATCATGGTGTGCCCTTTCTTCAAGAGGCAAAGAGCCAGGCTCTGTCCTCAGCTGCTGGGGCAAGTTTAAAAAGGAACCAAGCATCCTGTTCAGAGCACAAGAAACTACGGCAGGCCAAGAAACAGGAAGGGCTGTGAATGGGAACCCACGGCCTCAGTAAGAGTTGCAAAAGCCAAGACCTGCTTGGCACTGAAGAGCTAAGGGACCTGGTAGGCCCAAGGTCACTTCCCAGGCCCCTTTAGAGAGTTGGCATTATAGACACCAGTACAAGAAATACCTTCTTCCTCTTCTCCCACCCAGGTCTGCCTGCCTTGGAAGCCAATGACCCAATCGGTGAGTACTGCGCCCTGGAGAGTGACATATGTCACATGCCTGCATTTCAAGACCCATACCCTGTCTCCTAATCCTGGCGTTGCTTATTTGCTTACTTATTTACTCTTTTTCATTTACTGTAGATAAAGACAGTCCCTTCTATTATGGTAAGAGCTGGCACCAACCCCCACCCTACCCACCCCATCCCATTCAGTCCTTGTCTACCTTGGCCTCTTTGCCAAGTCAAAGGAGAAGGACGGTACATAACCCAGTAGACAAGGTGGGGTGGGACATCAAGCCTCTTCTTTGTGAGAGCTCAGTGCAGTGAGGAAGAGGGTGCCCTGGGGCATGGCACTGGGGTCGGAAGCCTGGGACTGAGCTCAGTGAGCCTTGTCCCCCTTTCTCAAGGTTTTTCCACTTTGCCTCTCACGGCACTTGTCCCCATGAGATACTATTACATGATGTACCTATTAACCCACTTGGTCTCTTTTTCGCTGCCTGGGATGTAAATGCCATGCGTGTAAGTATTTATAGGGCCAGTGGGTACTTGTAAAGGCCTCCCACAAAGCCACGCCCATGGTCCCATAAATACCTTTAGAATGAATGTGTGAGGGTACTGTGAGACATTCTTGTTTCCTCTTTGCAACCCCCCCCCAAGACTGGGAGAGCCTGCAGCTGGGTGGAATGATCTTTGGAGGGCTCCTGTGCATCGCTGGAATAGCCATGGCCCTGAGTGAGTACCGGGACCGGCAGAGTGGGGAGAGGAAGGCTCAGCCTCATCGGGCTGGCAACTCTGATCTTCCTCTCACAGGTGGCAAGTGCAAATGTAGGCGAAGTGGCCAGCCCAGGTGAGACAGCGACCAGTGGTATGCGCCTTTGGCTGAGCACTCCTGCGTGGTTATGAAGTTGTAGGGCCTATAGAATCATGACAGTCTGCCTATTCATTGGGCTCAAAGCAGGATTTGTTTGAATTCAGGGAAAACCCATGAAGAGTATTACGGCATATGCTCCCAGCTGGGCATGGCAGAGCACATCTGTAATCCCAGCGCTTGGTAGAGGCAGGAAGATTAGTAAATCAAGATTATCCTTGGTTACATACTAATCTCGAGTATCCTGAGCTACAGGAAACCCTGTCTCAAAAGTTCAAATATGTTATGCCCTCAGGGCCATGGGAAGCCCTGAGGAGACAACAGAAGATCTTGACCCTAACCTGAGTGCTTCCTTTCTCTAGTTCCTTACCTGAGAAAGCCACCCCACTCATCACTCCAGGTGAGCTGGGCCCCTGTGGGATGCAGGGATGAAGAATGAGGGGGTAGCCAAGGAAACAGGCCACCTAAGAACTGATCCAACTGTCTACAGGCTCGGCGAGCACCTGAACTGGACACAGGACCAAGCTGGAGGCGGGTCTGGCAGCTTCCCACTGTTCTTCCACTCTGGAGACCTTCCCTTCCAGGATGGCCTCTCACACGTGCTGTTAAGTCTTCACTGACAGGGAAGAGTAACCTAAACGTATTTTATATTAAAATGGTCTTGCCACTCCCTTCTGTGGTCTTGTGACCCCTCTGTTGATGTGGTGGGGGAGGCAGGGGATTAGAAGTGTCTGATGTCTGTCTGTCCCGTGTCTAGCAAGATTCTTCGAGAACCTAATTGATTGTGTAACCCAAACGTTCTCCTGTGGCTCCTGGTCCAGTAAGATCCACAGGAATGAGTGCAACATGGACGGTAACACAATGCTTTATCCAAAAACTACAGTTCTCACTTTGTGCCAAGACCCCAGCTGTTGATCACCTACATGAAACCAACGATCCTCACTGGCTCAGCCACTCTGTAACCCCCTCTCACTCCATTTGGCAAAATCTTGTCCAGCCCTCAGATCAGCATATGGGAAACCTCCAATGTCCTGGGACAAGAGTGTATTCAGCAGTCTCCTGATGGTAAGAAGGATTAAACAGCAAAAGCCAGAACTCAGAGGGCTCCCGCAACAGGGACCTCTTGGTAGCGGAGGAACCTCTTGGGTGTGGCAGAATGCTGGGCGTTTAGAACAGGAAGCAGTCAGCTAGTGGTGGTGGCCCAGAATCCGACCCAGAGTATCTGAATTGAACTGAAAATGAGAAGAATTGCTACAGAATTGCTCTGGATGAGTTAATAGGGTATACAAATGTCCAGGGAGCAAAATGACCTGGACTGCACCTCTGGAAGTATGACTGTAATACAGCTAAGATCCCAGAGCAGCAGGTTTCACATGAGGAACCAAAAGAGCTGGAGCCTGAAACCCAGCAGTGCCCCCTTGAGGAACTTCGTGGTACTCTTCTGTCCTGGTGGAAAGACAAGTAACAGGTTGTCCCCCAAGTGTTAGTGAACTGGCTCTTGACAGACAGCCTTTTCACTGAGGTGTATCATTTTCCAGCCACACATCTGGGTTGGAAAGGCTGCCAGACTGATCCCACACCCACCTTTAGCTCTTTTCCCTGTGTATGCTTTGTGGTAGCAGAGAACTCACGAAATTCCTGTTGCTTTCTAGGTGCAAATACTGCACATAGCCCAGGCTAGCCTTGAATTTTCTGTAAGAACAAGATGAAATTGAAGCTCCATTCTGTTCCTCTTGCCTTCACCTCCCAGGTGCAGGGACAATCACATTGGTTTATGTGGTGCTGGAGCTCAAACCCAAGGCTTCATGAATGTCAGGAAAGGGCTCTACCAACTGAGCAATATAGTACCCCACCTGAAAATGTTTCTCAGAATTTCCCTGTCCCCCACTCCTATTAGCAACCATTGGGGTGCAACACCTCAGTGTCTTATATATGGTTCTTGTCACCATAGTTAATAAATAGTACCAAACCACAAACTTGTTATATAGCATAGAAGGTGGCAGTATTTAAGCTTTTTCTCCTCCTCTGAGAAGTGGTTCAGGTTGAGAACTGCTCCTCTCCCCCCAGGATTCCCTGTGTGCTTACTGGAAGCACTTCAGACCATTGCCCGCTAACAGGAAACTTCACAACTCCTTTCCACCCTCTTCACTCGGTTTAAAAGCCTAGGAAATGGGGGGGGGGGATTCCTACTATACCAGTAGTTCTCAACCTGTGGGTCAAAAGCCCTTTGGGGTCAAATAACCCTTTCATAAGGGATCACCTAAGACCATCAGAATACATTACTACTAATAACAGCAGCAAATTAGTTATGGAACAGCAACAAAAATAATTTTATGGGGGGGTCACCACGATAAAAGTGTTGCCGCATTCAGGTTAAGAAACACTGTACTACCCCCTCCTGCCGTACACAAAAGTTCTCACATGCTAGTAAGCACACAGCCTCAAACCCAGGGAGTCCTCCTGTTTCTGAAGAACTCAGTTTCTTTCTGAAGTTTAGACTATCCAGATAGCCCAATGGCTACGCCAGCTTTGTGATTATATCCCTCCTGCTTATCTGTCATATTGAAGCTTATCATCTATTTTTCATTTTGTTTTCTTGAGGCAGGGTCCAAATAGCCTAGCTTGACATTGAACTCATAATCTCCCATCTTTAAGACTGAGATTACAGGCAAGTACCACTACCATCTGATTTTCCTGTTCCGAGATAAACCCCCAGCATGCCATGTAGCTGTTTTCTAAGATACACTCCTAGGCTGATACTTAAGACTAGAATACCTAATGTACAACAGATGAATAAGGAGTGTGACCAGGCAAGCATCTATAATTCCAGCATCTAGGAAGTAGACACAATAGAATCACAGCAAGTTTGAGGTCAGTCTGACCTGGTGAGTTTCAGGTCAGCCAGAGTTACATAAAATCAAAAACAACAGGGTGGGAATAATGGCTCATTTAGTAAAGACCAGAATTCAGACTTTCGGGTTCTTAATTAAAAGTCAGTCACAGCAAAGCTCACATGTAATCCTAGAGATGGAGGTGGGGGTTGCGTAGGTGAACACTTAAGAGCTCGTTGGCTGGTCAGCCAACCTGAATTGGTAAGTTACAGGTTCAGTGAGGGATTCTAACCCAAAAAGTAGAAAGCAATAAGACAATGATTTGACATACATGTGAGCATGCATGAACCTGCACTCACATGTATACCACACAAACACATTATATAGGACAGGAGGAATGTCTCAGCAGGTTGATGTCCACCACCAAGTCTGCTACTAAGTCTGATCCTCAGGACCAAATGGTGCTAGGGAAACTGATGATCTAAAGCTGTTCTCTGACTCTGACTGTAGCAAGACCTGCCAAGGATCTATCTGAGTTTGCAAAGAGGACTAACCCTTAGAGCTGAAACATCTCCAAGGAGGCGCAGGCTCAAGGGAAGTAAACCAGCCGTTCATGTGTGGAAAAGCATGGTTCTCTCCAGGGTTAGACAGGGTAAACAACTGCTCGGGAGACTGGCCAGTCACGTCCTCCAGCAGCCTACACATCATGGAGGGATTCCAGGTTGCAGCTTTTATGAAGTCATTACCCGAGTTGGGATGGCCTGCAGTTGAGTCATCCCTATTCCTGAGTAACCCCAACCAGTACCTGTAAGAAAATAGCTGCTTCACCAATTTGCATTTTGTTGTTACGGTAACATTGGTCTGGAGTGGGTTCCCTAACTGGGATGAGTAGACATTTTGTAAAGTAGGTGTCCTTCACACAACCTAGTAACCAAAACCAGGTAAGGTTACCATCTATCACCTGTCTTAAGAACTGAGTCCTGAGCCGGGCATTGGTGGCGCACGGCTTTAATCCTAGCACTCGGGAGGCAGAGGCAGGTGGATCTCTGTGAGTTCGAGGCCAGCCTGGTCTACAGAGCGAGTTCCAGGACAGCCTCCAAAGCCACAGAGAAACCCTGTCTTGGGAGAAAAAAAAAAAAAAAAAGAACTGAGTCCTGGTCCCAAGATGACAAGCCCACTCACAGGTACACAGGAATGATCATTTAGTTATCAAACCTTTTAACCTTCATTACCTCTGGATAATGGGTCAGAAACTTACCTGATGCAGCTGTATGTTCAAGTTTTATAATGTGGGTTATCTAATCATACATCTATTTCTTGCTTAGTTTTCTTGAGTCAGGGTCTCATATAGCCTACCTAGGCAGTCTTAAAAAACCAAAGAAAATAGGTAACAAAATAATTACAAGTAAGATTTTCCAATTAAAAAGCCGTTTTTAAAGGGCAAACAAGCAGGGATGGTGGCTCATGCCTACAATCTGAGTCACCTTCCTCAAAGACTGGGGTTCCAGACTAGTCTGGGCTAGAGACCTGAGTCAACTCCCCCCCAAAAAAAGAAAAAGGCACTGAAAAATGCTTCTAAGTGCTAAATCAATTTTCTGTGACTAGGGAAAAAAAAAACTCAGAAAACTGACCACATGTAAAACATCTATGTAAAATATAGACCTGGAAAAATGGCTTAGAGGGTAAAAGCACTGGTCCCACCCATAAGCATGAAGACCTCAGTTAGGAAGCACATAAAAACCAGATCTAAGCCAGGTGTTGATGGCGCACGCCTTTAATCCCAGCACTCGGGAGGCAGAGGTAGGCGGATCTCTGAGTTCAAGGCCAGCCTGGTCTACAAAGAGAGTTCTAGGACAGGCTCCAAAACAACAGCGAAACCCTGTCTCCAAAAACAAAAACAGATCTAGGATTAACTTATAAACCTAACTACATAGATAAAAGGGAGAATGTCTGGATGCTCAAGGGACAGCTAGTCAGCTCAGCAGAACTAAAAGACCCTGCCTCAATGAGGTAAAGTCAACTCATGAAAGCAGTCCTTTTATTTTCACGTACACAGCATGGCTTACATTGTGTATACGCACAAGCAAAATGGTGGGACACACCTGTAATCTCAGCACTTGGGATGCACGCAGGAGATTTATTCTCAGCCAGAGAATTTGATGTGGACTACAATGACTAATATTTGTTAGACACATTAAACCATTATTGACCTCTTGTTGGGAACTGCTGATACAAAAACTTGTAAGCCTTCTAGTAATGAAAAGGAAGTCATATTTCCACGTGTAAAAACCAGCTGCCCCCAAAGTTCAATATATGCTAGCATAAACTTGCATGAAGAGAGCTTAAGATCAGTATTTTTTCAGGGGTCTGGAGCTATGACTCAGAGGTTAAGAGCACTGGCTGCTCTCCCTCTTCTGGCTTGCAGGCATACATATAGAGAAAATACGGAATATATAACAAATTGTTTTAAATCAGGTCATTTTTTCTTCATTGCTAGAGATGATATGGACTACATGCCAAGCACAAGAGGTATTCTTACCTATACTTTGAAAATCACCCAGTGTTCTCAACACAGATTGACATATTCCCAAAGAGCAAAAAGATTTTACTTTTGTTGCCCAAATGCTGTGTAATACTAAGCTCTCCGCTTTTGTAACACAGGAGTAACAGAGTAATGAATGACCATAGCTGTTGGAATATTTATAAATAAGTCATGGTTAGGATGCCAGAATAGCCTTACAATAACTTCAACTCCTCTCCAAGCCACTGGATGGACTTTCCTCTAACAGAGTAAGGACTCGCTTCCAAACTCCAGTTCATCAATATAGTACACCTTGTGCCAAGTGTAAATGATTTGGATTCATCTCCCAAG